AAAACAAAATAATTATGAAAATAAAGAACTTCAAGCCAATTCTGAGAAAGTTACTAAGATTTCTGAAGATAATTTGGAAAATTCATTATATTTGAATAATGACGATATTAGTACAGATCATGAGGATATTCAGAGGGTGACTATTAATGATGCTCTAGATAGTATTGAAGGAAAAAATAAACCACAAATATTAGCAGAATAGCCTAATAGTACTTATTATGATTTTATAGAATTAGTTATAGAGGTTAATATTTCTAATAAAATCAGTGATAAGATAATCAAGTTCTTTAATAAACATAGTAATTTGAAAGAATCACTATTGCCGAAGTTTACAAAAAATGGCAAAGATTATCTTAGTCAAATAAGATCACCTTCTATAGATTTTAAAGAGAAAGTTGTTACAAATTATTCTAGAATCAATATTATACTTCATTATTGTCCAATTTTTCATGCAATTCAAGCCTTCTAGAATGACCTAAAATAACAAAGAACTTTGTTTTACAAGAAACTCTAAAAAAAAGAATGTATGTTTAAGTTTAATTAATTGCTAAGAATTGATTTTTTTTTGCTTTTTGAATTATATTTATTTATTTATCTTTCTTTTAACTCTTTGCAGGAAAATGATATTGAAGTAAGAGTATTTAGAAAACAGTATGAATATAATTGGTGGCATAAAATAGAAAAAACTATTTCTCTGATAAATCATTTGCTATTAATCATATTATATTCTGATACAACAACCTTCGACAACCTCAGTAAGACCTCTAGACATTTAGTTTTTTTGACAATTGGAAATCTTCCAAATTGGCTTCGAAATTCTGCAGACTCCAAAGTTCTTTTAGGGTTTTTACCAAAATTTCAAGATACCATAGCCAAAACTAATGATATCTTTTGAAACTTACAAAGTGAGATATATCACAGATACCTGGAAATTATGCTTAATCCTTTACTAAAAAAGCTAGATGAGTTATATTTTGAAGTTTGAGAGCAACCAGTTGCTTTTGTAGCACGAATTTTAGTTTTTTTCACAGATATAATTGAGGCTAGTAAAATAACTGCAACATATAAAGCAGTTCACTACAAAATGCTATGCCATAACTGTATGGTTCAGAAAAATAATCTAAACTACATGAACCTTACTTTAGAAGAAATAGTTCCTAGAACTCCAGAAAATATACAGCATATTCTTAATGATAATTATAGAAAAGAGTTTTCTATATATAATATTGCAAATGCTTTTTGGAAATTTCTGTATGTTTTTTTTTAATTTTATATGATTTACTGTATGTTTTTTTTTTTTTTTAAAAAAAAAAATTCTATTATTTAGGCTATGCAAAGTTAATTTTTCATTTTGCATTATATAAAATTCTAAATTTTGTGTGGTGAACAGATTTTTTTTTTTAATATTAATGTCATCAAAGAAAAACCAAACCTCAGGCTTTACAATTTTATTTGTTGCTAACATGTTTTAGTTTAGTAAATTATAAATCTAAAAGTCCGAAGTCTGGTTTTTCCTTGAATAATTCCAGAAAATTAAAGTCACCATCAGGTAACACCAGATAAAAAGATCAAAAGAATAAAATAGCAAAAATAGAATAATTAGAACTTGAAAAAAAAAAAATTAGAGATTTTATAAAATTTAGGGCAGCAGGTAATGCAAATGAAAAATCAACTTTGCGTGGTCTTACAATATTTTTTTTTTTTAATTCTATAATTTATCAAAAATACTTA